GAGGAGACACAGCAGGAAGAGGAGACACAGATGTGAGACATGGTGGGAGAGGGGATATGGCAGAGAAATGGGATGTGGGAGGAAGAGGGGACATGGAGGGGAGAAGGGATATGGGGTGAGGGAAGGGGTGTGTGGGAGAGAGGGGCCATAGGGTGGAGTGGGGCCATGGGGAAAAGGGAGGTTGTGCGAAGAGAGGGAACATTGGGGTTGTGTGGGGAGGAGAGGGGACACGGAGGGGAAGGTGGACATGGGAACAGGGAGGAATGGTTGGGGCTTTGGGCCTGTTTCCAGCCATGGTGTCACCAGCTGGGGGGTAACATCGGCTCTGGCGTGGGGCTCAGCCGCGCGGGGGGTGACGGGAGGCAGCAGGTACGCCACGGCGCTTTTCCTTCTCCACCCGCTCCCTGGGTGTGAATTCTAGCAGATCATGTTGGTATAAATGCAAATAGAGCGGTAAATGGGAGCTTTTTCTTTGTCAGTCAACTGAAGGAAGGAGAAACTGAAAGGAGAAGGAAATGAGCCGACATGTCTGAGGGCAGCAAGGGGAGCTCGCTGGCCTTCGGCCAGGTGGTGATCGGGCCCCCGGGCTCCGGGAAGACGACGTACTGCCACGGCATGCAGGAATTCATGAGCAGGATCGGGCGCAAGGTGACGGTGGTGAACCTGGACCCCGCCAACGAGGCGATGCCCTACCAGTGCTCCGTGGACATCGCCGAGCTCATCACCCTGCCCGACGTGATGGAGAACTTGAAGCTGGGGCCCAACGGGGGGTTGATCTACTGCATGGAGTACCTGGAGGCCAACTTCGACTGGCTGCAGGAGAAGCTGGCCGCCTTCAGGGGTCACTACTACCTGTTTGACTGCCCGGGGCAGGTGGAGCTCTACACCCACCACCACGCCCTGAAGAACGTCTTTGCTCAGTTGGCCAAGTGGAATTTCAGGGTAGGCTTGGGGCTCTGTGAGGAGCTGGGATCAGCCCTGCAAGGGGCTCGAAAGCTGTATGCCACATGCTTAGAGCTTCTGGTTGTGGTTGTGGGTACTAATGGCTGTTTTCTTTACTAACCTCTGTGCCCTTCCACATGAAACGGCTTTAGCAGGGAAGGAGGGGGATTTTGCCCCATTTTATGCTTGGAGATTGGCAAAGAGGAGCTTGTTCAGTGGGATTATTGTGAACAGAAGCACAGATTCCTTCCTCCCAGTGCTCCAGGGTCCTGTCTGCAGACCTTGTGTGTTTTATCCGAGTGGGTGCTGTGTTTTGGAGCAGGGAGGCAGATGTGTGCCCTGGGTGAGCGGGAACCCTTTGCTCTGCACTGCGAGGAATCCAGGCATCATCTCAGGCCCTGCCGGGCTCTCCTGCAGCCGAGCAGAATTGCTCTGCATGCTGTAGTACGTGCTCTGTGCTTTCTTGCACAATGGAAGATGCAAATGAGGAAGCGCAGGTGCGAAGAGTCCCATAACCGCGCTGACTCGCTTACGTTGCATTTGGTTTGCATTTGGGCCAAACGGTGAATGTGCAAACAGCGTACGGCGTGAGCAAGAAGGGCAGGTTCCTTGGCTTGAGAATGTCACTGGGAATCTGCCACGTTGGAAATACTTTTTATTCAAATAAATGTACATGAAATTGTAGTTACTAAAAAAAAAAGATAGTTACACTGCTGTTCGGATGCTTACACCTGCCTGTGAGCTTGGAACTGGGGTTTTTTTTTGCTGCAGAAGCAGAGCTGTGACTCAGCCACGCCTGACTCCAGAGTGTTAGCGTTGTGTAACTGGCAGTCCCTGACCAGAGATCTTGGACCACATTGTTACAGCTGCATGAAACACAGGGAATCAAACTGCTCGTTAATTGAATTATTCATTATTAGTCCAAACCACATGACAATTGGTTCTCTCCAGCAGAACGGGGTGCGCTGCAGTCACTGCTCCTGTGTGTGAGCGTTCCTATGGGGAAGGTGGAAATCTGGAGGCAGTAGTTCAGAGGGAGAGTTAACCCCAGCTCCCACCCCCCAAAAAAGCTGCAGAGTTCAGCAGAGCATGGGAACTTCATCTGCAAAGAAGGAAACCCTGAGAAAAGGGAGAGCAGTTGCAGGTTTAAGTGTCCCTCAATACTGCTGGAGGAGCTCAGCACCCCATGAACCTCCCCACAGCCCTTTCTGTCCCACAGCACCCTGGTTCCTGAGTCCGCAGGGGGTCCGTGGGGGTGGATGTGGTGATATATACATCTAGATATATGTGCACTCGGATATGGGGATGTTTTATACACGGGAGCTAGGAGGTAGGTGGTAACGTTCCCT